TTGTGTAATTGCAGCACTGTTGATGGATTCCTGGCATTAATAGTCGTTTTAATGCATGTGGCACTTGTGGTCGTATTTGTGGGTGGTTGGCACTAGCGGTAATTTATGGATAATCGTGGCACTTCTTGGATTATGAAGGATGATTAATTAATGATGTTTGACACTATTACAGTTTAAGAATTTGTAAACTATTGCTAGTTTAAAATCTGTGGCACTATTGCTAGTTTAAATAATTCGGGCACTATTGTTGAGTTCCATTATGAGTGTCATGTTGAGTGCCATCTCCAGGGTCACATTGATTGCCATTTGTTTCTCTCTGGCATCATGTGGCAAGCAAGACACGTGTTTCCCAACTTCCGGTGGGTTCTGGGTGCCACCTACGTCTTTCTTGATGCTTGCTAACGTGATGGCAGAGGGTGTAAAGGTATTGGTGGACAGGTGGGGAGGAGGGAGGAGGAGGGGGGGCGTATTAGGTGTGAGGGTTGGTTAGGTTAGGTTTGGTCTGGTCTGGAAGGTTAGGTTAGGTTAGGTTAGGTTAGGTCTGGTCTGGTCAGGTCAGGTTAGGTTCATATCAGCTGTAATAAATATTGTTATCTCATAGACAAAGTTCACCGAATCTGCCTCTCTGTCATGAGTAATCACTGGAATTGTATCGGTAACCACATGTAGTATATTATAAAGTTGTATTAAGTATATTAAGTATGAGTTAAATCTTGTGTATTGTTTATATTATACACTCAAGAACAGAGTCCTTCACACCCAAAACACTCGAGCCACTGTAGTGAAGTGTGTGAACCTGTAATAACGAGACACTCAACTATTTTAAGCTTTTCTTGGAATCATGGTTAATCTCCGAATCCATTAGGTGAGAGAGTAGGAGGAGGTGAGGTGAAGAGGTGAGGCTTAAAACTCCGAGACAGTTTGTTTACAGATGATGAGATGGTGTAGTGTTACATTCATTTGATACAGTCTCGAACAGTGTGTGTGTGTGTGTGTGTGTGTGTGTGTGTGTGTGTGTGTGTGTGGCTTCGTCTCGTGTTAATGATCAGCTGTGACAGGAACTATTAATTGACTGACAGACAGGTAAATGCTTTGATGGGTAGGACACTGACAGACAGGTGTGTGTGCTCTGACAGATAGATGTATATATACACTGACAGGTATGCTGTTGGAGTTATATACTGTCTTGCAGGCCGGTATATATACTCTGATATACTGGCAGATATATACGTAGAGTCGAGTTACACCTTCACCCTCAAGTTGTACCTCCAGTAAAAGCTGTCCCTTTAATGGCTGTTCCTCCCAGCTTGTTTCACTTGTCCTGTCTAGTGCCTGCACAAACCCACTCACTGCCCACTCTCCTCACTTACCCACCACTGCCCACTGTACCCACTTACTCACCCCAGCCCACTCTCCCCACATACTAACCCGAACCCACTTACCCACCCCAGCCCACTCACTCACCCCAGCCCACTCACTCACCCCAGCCCACTCCATAGCACACTCACACCAGCCCACTCCAGCTCACCTCCACCTGCCCACCTACAAGGGTAAGCACGAAGACATTTCCTGGTGGCTTGGGCAATCCCATTGGGTGGTGAAGAGAGAGAGAGAGAGAGAGGGGGGGAGAGAGAGAGAGAGAGAGAGAGAGAGAGAGATGGAACTGGACACAGAAGATGATGATGATTGACTTGAGTGGAGGGGAGAGGGAGAAGGGTAGATAGCAAGATAGCCGTCAGATAGAGGGACCTGAGGAGGTTGAGGGGGTGAGGAGGGTTGGGGTAGGGAGGAGGAGGTGAGGGAGAGAAGGGTTGGAGAGGAGGAGGGAGGGACTACCTTCAAGGAGTGGAGTCGCTAGCTGAGACAAGGCAAGTTAATGAACGATTGTACAAGGAGGAGACCATTTAAGGGAGATTAGTGAACAGAGCGGCTCTAAAGAGGAGAGGAGGAGGAGGGAGCTTAAGCATGATGTAGGTGAAAGAAGGAAGGGTGGGCATACATACATACATACATACATACATACATACCTGTGTGTGTGTGTGTGTGTGTTAGTGCTCTGACCTGTGACACCTGGACCTTAGACGACCTGCTGGCCCACCTCAGTGCCTCTGTTAGTCTTGTGGTCATCCCAAGTGATTATAGTAGTCTGTAATGACTGGTGTCTCTAAGATTGAAATTAGCGTGTTAATGAGTGCCTGAGTGGGGGGGAGAGTGCCACAGTGGGGTAGGAAGTGCCTGAGTGGGGGTAGAGAGTGCCAGAGTGGGGGTAGGAAGTGCCAGAGTGGGGGTGAGAGTGCCAGAGTGGGGTAGGGAGTGCCAGAGTGGGGGTAGGGGAGTGCCAGAGTGGGGTGAGGTGCCACAGTGGGGGTAGAGAGTGCCACAGTTTTGTAGGGGAATGGAGTGGGGGTAGGGAGTGCCACAGTGGGGGTGAGAGTGCCACAGTGGGGGGTGAGGAGTGCCAGAGTGCCACCACAACCACAACTACCACAATCACACCTCCACGACCACTCAGCAGCAAACGAATTAGTGCCTATCCTTAGAAACCTGTTGGCCCTTCACCAGGAAGTGTAATGGGTCCTGTTTATATCTGTTAAGGGGTAATGTCTGTTAACGGGAGATAATGCTCATGTCTTCATCATTAACTACACGCTTGGGTTAGGTTAGGTTAGGTTAGGTTAGGTTAGGTTAGGTTAGGTTAAAGTTAGGTTAAGTTAAAGTTAAGTTAGGTGGAGATTATTAGTAGTGGGGGGGGGACAATGACGCACGCTGGGGTAGACGTGGACTATTCAGCGCACGTCAAGCCCTCATAGCGTGGATTCTGCCCTGATTCCTGGCGCCGGCCGGGCACCACCGCCCACCCTGCCAGCACCTCAGTCAACTCCCCCTCACCCACCAGGAGCAGGGTGTGGGTGGTGGAGGAAGGAGGGGTGTTGGGTGGTGGAGGAAGGAGGGGGTGTGTGGGTGGTGGAGGAAGGAGGAGTGTGGGGGAGTGGTGGAGGAAGGGATGGAGGAGGGAGGAGGGTGTGTGGAGGTGGTGGAGGAAGGAATGGAGGGAGGGAGGAGGAGGTGTGTGGGGGGTGTGGTGGAGAAGGGATGGGGAGGGAGGAGGGTGTGTGGGTGGTGGAGGGGGAGGGGAGGGAGGAGGTGTGTGGAGGTGGTGGAGGAAGGAATGGAGGAGGGAGGAGGGGTGTGTGGAGGTGGTGGAGGAAGGAATGGAGGGAGGGAGGTGGTGTGTGTGGGGGTGGTGGAGGAAGGGATGGAGGGAGGGAGGAGGTGTGTGGGGGTGGTGGAGGAAGGGATGGAGGAGGGAGGGAGGAGGTGTGTGGGGGGTGGTGGAGGGGGGAGGGATGGAGGGGAGGAGGAGGTGTGTGGGGTGGTGGATGGAAGGGATGGAGGGAGGGAGGAGGTGTGTGTGGGGTGGTGGAGGGGGAGGAGGTGGTGTGGGGTGGTGGAGGGAGGGATGGAGGGAGGGAGGGGGTGTGGGGGGTGGTGGAGGGAGGGATGGAGGGGAGGGAGGGAGGGGTGTGTGGGGGGTGGTGGAGGGAGGGATGGAGGGAGGGAGGAGGTGTGTGGGAGTGGTGGAGAGGGATGGAGGGGAGGGAGGAGGTGTGTGGGTGTGGTGGAGGGAGGGAGGGATGGAGGGAGGGAGGGAGGAGGTGTGTGGGGGTGGTGGAGGGAGGGATGGAGGGGAGGGAGGGTGGTGTGTGGGGGTGGTGGAGGGAGGGATGGAGGGAGGGGGAGGTGGTAGTAAATCATATACATTTCATAAGTGCAAAACCAATACAATGATGTGTGTAGGTTGAGATGATCTGGTGATGTAGGTCAGAGAGAGATGAAAGGGAGAGAGAGGGAGAGAGAGGGGAGAGAGGGGGAGATGAAGGGAGAGAGGGAGATGAAGGGAGAGATGAAGGAGGAGAGAGGGAGAGAGAGATGAAGGGAGAGAGAGGGAGATGAAGGGAGAGAGGAGATGAAGGGAGAGAGGGAGATGAAGGGAGATAACGAGAGAGAGGGAGATGAAGGGGAGGGGGAGGAGATGAAGGGGAGAGGGAGGGAGATGAAGGGAGAGGGGAGATGAAGGGAGAGAGGGAGATGAAGGGAGAGAGGAGATGGAAGGGAGAGAGGGAGATGAAGGGAGAGAGAGGAGGGAGATGTGAAGGAGAGAGGGAGATGAAGGGAGATAGCAGGAGAGAGGAAGGGGAGAGGGAGGAGATGAAGGGAGAGGGAGGGAGATGAAGGGAGAGAGGGGGAGATGAAGGGGGAGAGAGAGAGGGAGATGAGAGGAGAGGGAGATGAAAGGAGAGAGGGAGATGAAGGAGATGGCTGAGGAGATGAAGGGAGATAACGAGGAGAGGAGATGAAGGGAGAGAGAGGAGATGAGAGGGATGACGAGAGAGAGAAAGAGATGGGGAGATGAGAGGGAGATAACAGGGGAGGCAGGAGAGACAGAGAGAGCGTTTGGTGTTGGGTAGGTCAAAACACAACATTTCCAAAGAATTTAGCTGAAGGACTCTTAGCTGAGACTGAAGGACTCTAGCTGAAGGACTCTGAGGACAGATGGACTTAAGCTGAAGAACTCTTAAGCTGAAGGACTTAAGCTGAAGGACTTAAGCTGAAGGACTTAATCTAAAGGACTGAGGCTGAAGGAAACTTGGGCTGGTGGGCGTGGTTGGTAGTGACAGTGGGTGGTGGGCGTGGTTGGTAGTGACAGTGGGTGGTGGGCGTGGTTGGTAGTGACATTGGGTGGTGGGCGTGGTTGGTAGTGACAGGGGGTGGTGGGCGTGGTTGGTTGTGACAGCCGATGGTGGGCGTGGTTGGTAGTGACAGTGGGTGGTGGGCGTGGCGTAGCAGAAGATAGGTGGTTGTGACAGTAGTGTACGTGGTGTGAGGAAGGTGGGGTAGTGGTGGAGAGGGGAGATCTTGGTGGGTAGTGTGGTGGGGTAGGAGGAGGGTATGTGTTGTTGGTGGGGTAGGGGGGCACGTCACACAAAGGCACTAGGGTTTACACAGGCCAGGCTCAGCTCCCTTATGCTGGTGCCACTTTCGAGAAACTCCGGGAAGGTGGTGCCAGGTCCCGCGGTTTTTACCTCCAGTACGTGCAGGTATGTGCCAATTCTCTGGGTGCCGCCCCCCGTTGCCACCGCCCCCCGCCATCGTCGTCCCCCCGTCGCCGCCCCGGACGATCATGTGTGAGAGCCAGCGAATCTTATTGACACCGGCACCCCGTTCATTTTTTCAGCGGGTCGTTGGGTCGCCCACTTTGAGGAAGCGCGCATTGCATATAAAAGGCGGAGGGGGGGCAGCGTGGCCCAACACTCGCTTGTGGACCAGCGACCAGTAAAGGTGTGGTGCAGAACTACTAACGGGTGCAAGTTTGTGTTATAGTGGTGCACCGAGCATCGAATGGCAGAATTGGAAAACAAGAATCTCGTCTTCACATATGTTATCCTCATCGCGTTCTTAGTGGTGCTATACATGTTCCTGGAGGGGCTCGTGTTTTAATAACATGAGCTTATAACCCTTACCCTCTCCACACCCTTCCCTCACCCAACCTCAGTGACGTAGTTTGATCACGCTCCAGCGTATTCTCGCCCCTGTCTTCCCCTCGGTGTCAAGCCAAAGTTCTCCACCTCTCCCGTGGCAGTAAAAGGGACCACACGACCTCCCAATATCTGCATCCTCCCTCCTTGACCCAGTCCAAGGATCGCAGGAACTTCTCTCCCCACCCAAGGCCCCACGAATTATTGACCCCAACTCACGGATTGTTGTCGTGATGGAGAACCAGTCCCTGGCCAGCACTTACTTCATCCTCCTCTCCTGCCTCGCCCTCCTCTACGTCGTCCTCGAGGTACTCTAAACACCACACTACTACACAGTGTTACGTGACTACCTGAAGCACAAGTTGACTTCCCACCACCTGACTGAGAAAGTTGTCAGGATTGAGCCATAACTCACCGAAGATGATTGACACAGAGAACAAGTCTCTCGTTTACACCTACGGCATACTCTTGGCGTTCCTGGTGGTGCTGTACTTCTTCATGCAGGGCACCTTCTTCTAACTCCTACATATTGTTATAGTTTATTGTTGCGAGTTATTACAGTAAATACCAAGATGGCCGTCAGTGAGCATCAGAACCTAGGCTACACCTACATCATTCTCCTGACCTTCCTCTTCGTGCTTTACCTGTTGTTGGACAGCGCCTTCTTCTGAACACTTACACTCAGCAAGAGAGAACTCCGACGTGTTCATCGTTGTTCACAAGTGTTCCAGACTCCTTCAACATGGATGAAAACAAGAGTATTGGCTATACTTACCTCATCCTGGTAGCCTTCCTGGTGGCTCTTTACGCCATCCTGGAGGGAGCTTTCTACTGAGCCCCCTGTCTGTGTTGTGAGAGGCAGTCAAGATGCCTGGCAGTGAGAACACCAGCTTGTTTAACAACTACATCGTGTTGATCGTCCTCCTGGTGGCTCTCTACGTGTTCGTCGGCGGCTCCACCAGCTGAGGTTAAGAGTCATCACCGGGTTAATTAACTCTTAAGACAAATATAGAACTTCTCGACAAAAAAAGATGGAAATTGTTGAACAGCGGAACTTATTCTACTCTTATATTGTCTTCATGGCGGTCGTCTTTACTTTCTACATCAAGTTTGAAGCAGCCATCTTTTAAGAGAGAAAACAGCAGACGCCCACCAGCCATGGAGACTCAGGTGTTCTGTTGTACATATGCCGTCCTCTTGTGTTTCCTTCTGGTCGTGTACACAGCCTTCCAGATCTGATCCACACACAAGACAGCTCTGCTAACACGATCGTCAAAAAACTCAAGTTATAACACCGAAAACAATAAATCACCATATCCTCAGGACCAAGACACTCGCCCTTGAGTACTCCCGAGGATAACCCCGAATACGCTGGAGATCCTTGTCCTTTCTGCTTGTAGTTCCCAGTACCACCCATTCCAAAATCTTCACTCCCACCTTCAGTCCTAACGAGTGTGAAAGATTTTGAGAGTTTTCCAGTCGACGCTGTTACTTACTTTGGATCATCGCCGCCTGTAGACATCATTCTCAGTGGTAATGTAATGTCGTGTGGCCAGTGATGAAGATACTTAAGTCATACCTCTTGTTTATATTGTTTTTATTGATAATTTAATGGCAAATTTTTGTTCAGTGTGATAATGTCAGGGTTTCTGTTTCTGCTCACAGCTCTCCAGCATTCATCAGCGTCTTCGCCAAGAGGAACAGCAGTGAAGATGGTCGCCTCTTGAGCTCGACAATAATATCTCTACTGTACAAACGGACTTGCCTTCATCAATGCTGTCAAAGAAAGAACTTTTGAAATATTTTCGTAGTAACAGTATTTTGGATACATTTCTCTTAAAGTATTTTAGCCTTTGTTCTTTAAGGTGATATATATGTAACTAGTGAGGCAGCACCGTACATCATGGATTTATACCTCCTGTCACCAGTATTTTTAAAGAAAATGATTCGTAGGCCTTCAGCCACACCTGAAGGTGACCCGGAAGCCCTCCCGCCGGAAGACACGTTGAGGCTCCTGGGTCATGACGAGGAAGGTAACGCCGAGGTGGACTACGAGGCGGAAATGGAGGCAGCGGCCTGGCGGGGTCGGCGGCGGTCTAGCCTGGACCGAGTTCTGCGTCAACACGCTTACATCATCATCTGCGTCCTGTGCTACGCCTGTACACTGCCGGGCCACAGGACCTGAGGCACCGCCCACACCGCCACACGTCTGCGCCTACGACACAGGGAAGACTTTTCCCCACAAAGAGAGTTGGATATGATAGCTTGTAAATAAAGCTATGGGCGTTTTGGTTATATTCCAAGAATTTATCAGACATTTTGTAATATAGGCTTTTAAGGCTCGCACAGATTATATTCATTCGTGATATAGGAAAGAGTTAGAGCAGTGTTTGTGATATAATAACATATTGATTATCTTACAGTAGGTGTAGCCTGGTAGAGCGAACACCTTATCTCTCTAGTCATCTGACAGTTGTTGCTGTTGGTAAATATCATTGATGAGCATTGTACATATATACAGCACTTGGTAGCAGTGAGGAGCTGAAGTGTGTTTTGTTGTTGTTATTGTCATGTAGTTCAGCATAAGACAGAGGCTGACCTTTAGCTACCCCGTCAGCACATAGCAAGTCCCCATTACTGTTAGTGTAGACAAGTGGATAGTGCCTGGCGTTTTAACTATACACCGTCAGCAGTTAATGGTCTTTTAGCCCACTTGACACTGTAATCCAAATAATAGTTTCTCTCCGGCATAAAAGGACTTAAAAAGAGCCAGTACTTCCCGGGAGAGTCTGTAGTCTTCCTGTAGGTGTAGCTTAAGTAGCCACTCCAGCTCCCCCTTCTGCAGTAGTAGATGGTAGAGTCTTTTAACACGTTGGTCACCTGACAATATAAAGTTCCTATTAATATTTTTTTTTATTACTTTTACTTTACTTTACACTTTTACTTTATCTGCCAAACTTTGCTCAAATCAACACCCTCTTTTACACTGTGCTTTAAACTGGTGCATACTGTATAGGGGACGAGCTAGTGTTTTGTATAGGAGGTAGAGTCAATTAACTAACTTACGCTACTATTTTCAGTCTATTTTCCGGCAGCTTATACAAAATACAATACTACTTTACCTTGCAACAATAACATGACTTTATTGCTATGATTTACCGCTATTTTTTTAACAGACTCAACAGCTATGCAATACTAAGCAATGGTGTTTGATATGTTACTATTATTATTATTATTATTATTATTATCACTGTTAATTTATTATCCATAGGCAACTACCAATCGCCACCTGTTATTTTGTCAATTTTGTTTACATAGATAATTAATTATTTGTGCTACCTGTTAATTAAGCCAACAGGTGTGAAGAGACTAACCTGAGGTAGTTAGTTATCAGACGACCCAAAATGAGTATCAGGGCGATTGTTTGTATGAAAGTAGATATATAAACTTTTTTATATCTGTATTCATTAATAAATACTTTTATTTTGTAAGACTTTGAGTATTTCCTGATGGTCTTGTTTTGTACTTTTATCTTTTATGGGGTTGAAAGTTTTGTTTTTTCATGTGGTTTAGATTTTCGTTGTTTTATTTATTGTATTTTTTTTATATCTGGTTTAAGGTGGAGCTTTTGTTAAATTGGTTCAAAGTTCATATTTTTAGTAAAGTTTATTTCTTGCAAAGTTTTATAGGTTCAAAGTAAATGGTTTATTGATTCAAAGTAGATGATTTTTTTTACAAAGTTTCATCGACTCAAAGTTTCATTAATTGTGTGCGGAGTCCAAGGTAGATAATTTTCTCAAAGTATATTTTGTTTTCATATTTATTAAGTTAGATTGCGTTAGGTTAGAGTAGGTTAGGTTAGAATAGGTTAGGTTAGCGTAGGTTAGAGTAGGTTAGGTTAGCGTAGGTTAGGTTAGAGTAGGTTAGGTTAGAGTAGGTTAGGTTAGAGTAGGTTAGGTTAGCGTAGGTTAGGTTATTTTAGCGTAGGTTAGAGGAGGTTAACTTACGTTTGGTTGTGTTTGGTTAGAGTAGGTTAGGTTAGATTTGGTTGGGTTAGGTTAGGTTTCAATATATACAAAAGAGTGCCAATATAAACAAACAAACCGAGGAAAGCCATTGTAAACAAGAACGTGGGCGCCATGTAAACACAGAAATGGACAGGGCCTAGGCGTAGCCCAGAGGCATAAGGCGTGAACAAACATAGAGAGAGAGAGAGAGAGAGAGAGAGAGAGAGAGAGAGAGAGAGAGAGAGAGAGAGAGATTTACTACACACAACACGGTACAGACATATTCAGAATAAACACAGTTGGTTTGGTTACTACAACAGGACTTTTGTTTGTGTATATATATATATTATTTTTTTATTTGTAGATGTAAAACGAGAGAAAGAATGAAAGTAGGGATGGAATGATAAGAGAAAGAGACTAGAGGACAATGGGGTAGAGAGAAAGGGGAGAAAGGAGAAGAGAGAGAGAAAGGGGAAGAGAGAGAGTAAAAGAGAAGGGTGAAGAGAGGGGGGAGAGAAGAGGAAGAGAGAGACAAGGGGGAAGAGAGAGAGCAGGAGATAAATGGGAAGACAGAGACTTGAGAAAAAGAGTGGGAGGGAAAGGAGAGAGAGAGAGAGAGAGCACACGTCAACATAAACCAACTCAGGTAAACAACACTACACCTATTAACAGTCCTTTTACCTGCGTTAATTAACTCTTAAGTCAATCTATGAAAGCAGCGTAGACATGTGTAATTAAACCTTCTCTGCGAAATACTAAATTAAAAAAAAAAATATTGATATCTTCATTGTCATCAGCTGGAGTGGAATAACATTTTCTGTGACCGATGAACTGAGAGGCGGTTTACGGAGGGTCGACTATGGTATTTGAGCCTTTAGTTACCCTCTGGACGTAAGGGAACAGTTTAGAGTCGATGACCAGAGAGTATTGTCAGGAATTACACCCATAATGGACCACTGTGGTTGTTTCACCAGGCTTGTGTATAGTGCTTAACTAGAACGGCGATTGTGTGTCTGTCTGTGTTGGTCTCTGTGTACGTGCGTGAGTCTGGATGTGTGAGTGTTTCTTTACTTACACATATCTTACTGTTAGTTATTCTTGCACATGTAATGATTAATACTGACATGACCATTTTCTTTACATTAAACTGATCCAGAGGTAAGGCACTCATTAAGTCAGCTCTTCCGATATCAGAGACTGGGGGAAAAAAACATATTTACAATCCTCAAGTTCCCGTGATTAATGTCTTTCCATACTCGAAGAAGATAAATATGTGAGTTTACCCTCTCATGTTCCACCTGGTGCCGTTTTCTTTCATTTCAGTAAGTAAATGAAATCCTGGTGCCGTTTTCCTTAGAGTTTTAATTACCGCTGTTAAGTTCTGGTACTTCATTTAGTAATATATGAAAAATAACCTTAAAGTTAGAATTATTTACTATTTGCTCTGGGTTAGGTTTGGTTAGGTTAGGTTAAATTAGGTTTGGATAATTGGGTTAGGTAAGGTTAGGTTAGGTTATATCATATAGCTTAGATTAAGTTGAATTGTATGGGTTAAATTAGATTAGGGCAGGTTGGATCATCTGTGTTAGTTTAAGTTAGGGTAAGTTAAGGTTAGGTTAAGTTAGGGTAAGTTAAGGTTAGGTTAAGTTCGATTATTTACAATTACTTACTAAGCTATTATGGGTTGCCATGAGGTGAAGTCTGGAAGTTAAAAGTTGTGAAAGTTTAAAGTTGTATTTTTTTTACTTTGGTTGTATAAACTTTGTCCAACATAACCAGTCAGTGTTAATAATGTTTAATAGCCAGTGAAGAGCAGTAACTTTGACTCGAGTGTTTAATGTGGTGAAGTAGTCAGCGTGATGAGTTACTGTATAGGCTGGTTATATACTTTTGTGCTTCAATAATTTAGGTTTTTAAACACGTACCGCTAAGTCAGATTATAGTTGGAGTTCTCAAATAGCTCTCTCTCTCTCTCTCTCTCTCTCTCTCTCTCTCTCTCTCTCTCTCTCTCTCTCTCTCTGGTGTATGTAAATAAAGGCGTAATAGCTTTGGCAAACATACAGGTTATTGTTTATCTGTTTATTTATTTGTTTAAATATTTATTCTCATAGTTGGGATGTCGGTAAATTTTTACTTTAGGACATGAGTCCCGAGGGGTTGACCAATATGCTTTTCCAATGTATTTTGGTGTGTTTTAAACGAATCTGACCTTCATTTGGGGCAGGAGGTACTGGATTTTGCCACACCAATAATGGGGGAGAGACTGGAAAATAGGGGTTTTCGGGTGGGGGAGAAAACGGAAACGAGTCATCTAACCTAACCTAACCTAACCTAACCTAACCTAACCTAACCCCCGGACCCCCGGTAGGCCAAACTTAAACTAACCTAAATGTCTCGGTAGTTCAAAACTTTGGGGCGCGCCATGTCTGAAAGTACAATACCTTAGTTAGAAGTGGAAGGACCCGGGATATGTAAGAACTGGATAGATTGATCGTCTTTCTCATAAAACTCGGCAATATATACTTAAAATAATCGTAGGAACTCAAACGACAACCAACCTCCACCACGGCCACTGTGAAACTGGTCAATTAAATTAAAATCGTGCCCAGGCTGCTGCTTTTGAAAAAATAAATAAAATGTGATTTGTCGAAAAAAAATCGTGAAATGATATCGATACCTCATTGGTCACGACTGGATGACGTCAGTCAGTATTGCGCATGCGTGATGCGCCGATAACATCTCTTCACAGACGAAGACTGAACACTACGTAAAATCAATTAAATTCAATTGTGTCGCTATTATCCATTTTCGCCCGGTATATATGGGGCTCAAAACGCTCAGAATAACGAGACGTAAATTTTTCAGTAGTTTATAACTTGGGGGGGGGGGGGCTAGGTCCTAAAGTAAAATAATACCGGGATGACCTCCAACAACTACAGGGCCACTAATGCTATTTTAAAATTAGTTGGCCAGAGTAACAGCTGTGGCGATAGTACGTTTTCCTTGTCTGTCCCTCACGCCTTGGTACCCCCTGGTGAGAGAAAACGGCCTCCCTTCCCAAGCACAGTTTTCAGGGTACACTTTGATAGACTATAAAGGTCTGATATATTTTGATTGAGTGAGTGAGCGTTTCAATTTGCCTTTTTTATTATACTAAGCTTATTCATCTCTTATTCATCTCTTATTCATCTCTTATTCATCTCTATTCATGTCTTATTCATCTCTATTAATCTCTTATTCATCTCTATTCATCTTTGTTATAAATTTTCATTCTGTTTGGTGGAGTTTATCTTAAGTGTTTGGTTGTGTGTGTGTGTGTGTGTGTGTGTGTGTGTGTGTGTTTGGTGGTCGTGTGTGTGTGTGTTTGGTTGAAGGCAGTATTATTATTGTGTGTTTGGTCGTGTGTGTGTGTGTGTGTGTTTAGAGTGGCCCGTATGGTGGCTGTGTGTGTATGTTCAATATGTGTGTGTGTGTGTGTGTTTGGTCGTGTGTGTTTGTTGTGTGTGTGTGTGTTTGGTCGTGTGTGTGTGTGTTTGGTGTGTGTTTGGTCGTGTGTGTGTGTGTTTGGTAACAACTTATCTTTCAAGTTTTCAAGTGTTTTGTTGTTTGTGCATGACATCAGTGTACACTGTAGCTGTTGTTGTGTTGCTGAGCGACACACCCACACACACACACACACGCACACACACACACACACACACACACACACACACACACACACACCCACACACACACCCACACACACACACACACCCACACACACACACACACACACACACACCCACACACACACACACACCCACACACGCTGAAGACTAGCCACCTTCAGTTTATTTCACTTGATAAATAAACACCCTAAAATTACCAAGGGGTTAGGTTAGGTAGGTTAGGTTAGGTTAGGTTAGTTAGGTTAGGTTAGGTTAGGTAGCAAAATACATCTTACGTTAGTTTACTGGTATTTTGTATAGAAATATAATAAAGTATTGATATTTTTGCCTGTTTTAACTCGATCTAAATCATCGTCTTTCTTTCTTTTCACTGATAGTGTTTTTTGGTGAGGGATGACAAGTTCTAGCCGATCAGTGGCGAAGAGGATAAAAGTAAACGTACATTAGTTAGAGCGACTCTCTATAGAAAACGGGTCTCCCACAATATTTTCTGGACAGACTGCATTAAACACGACAGCAATTATGTTCATCGAGTCCATTCCTCAAAATGAACTCTGTTGCATCGACACTTAGCTTCCCTGATCCTCGGCACCTGGACAGTAATTCCCTGCAGAACTTGTGTGGAATATCTGGTGCTGTGGATGGAATTGAATCGTTTATGGTTTAATTACAGTTCTGGCTAGTGGGTTTTCCTTCAGCCACGGTAGTATTGGTGGTCGTTCTTCTCTTCGCTTATATGTTATAGGTAGTTGTAAATAAAGTCTTATATGTCCCAACTCATAACACTGTCGGGATTATATGAAAAACTCTTA